GGGAAGGTTGTCTTCCGATTTGACACAGAATCACTGTGTCCGAGGCAGGGCCTGCTGATCGTGTTATGCCACCACGATCAAACGGCAAGCCCTCTGTAGCCACAGCAGGACGCCTCGCACCTACTGAGGAGTCCCGTTTCCCCGCCCGCGAGGAAACTCGCGACCGCCGCGTGCGCGATCGACAACGGGATGCACGAAGTGGGGTGCAGGGGATGCGGCAGTACCACGACCGGATGTCGGCGCACAGCGTGGTTGGCGACACTCGCAGGAGAAGTGTCCCGGTCGGTTGCAGTTGAAGCAACGACGGTCGGTGGTGGGTGAGGTCATAGCAGAGACCTCCATATCATGTGGGTCGCGGGTCTTGGTCGTGGTGCGCGATTGGAGAACCGAAAACCCTTCGGCCAGCGCGGTGCGGACGGCATCTTTAAATATCGAAGGATATGTCCGAAAAAGCTGCGTGCGCGCAGCTGAGTCGTTGAGGCCGTTCATAAAAATAGTCACCTTAGTCTCTTCGGAGAGCGAAGACTTCTGGGTGACACAGGACGCAAGGAAGCGCAGATCGTGGACGCACTCACGAATAGAGCGCTTGCTTTGCCTGGCAGATAGGTACTCCGCGCGGTACCGGAAGTCGCTGTTCGCTGGCAGGAACGCTGCCTTCAATTGTTCGATGAAATCATCGAAATTGGCAAACGCGAAGCCATCGTCGCAAGTTAGGCTCCAGACCCAATCATCCGCACGGCCAGTAAGGTGCGACATGGCGAAAGACACGCGGATCTCATCGTCATCGATGTTCAAAGCATCCGCGGCACGACTAACTTGCTTGTTCCAACGAAGCAGTTGGTGTGAGGCAAGTCCTCCATACTTGGGGACTACGAGCTTTACGGCGCGTTGCTGCGGCTTCGAAGCTGTCTGCGCGGACATACGCGCAGTCGTGTGATGGAGGGTGTCCTCCAGAGCACGTCCTCGAGCGTTGAGGTCGGCAACTTCTTGTAGCGCGGCATCGCGCTCGGAAGCAAGTGATTGCGCTTGCGCCGCAATGTCTTGCCGAGCATTCTCGCCATGGCGAGCAAAGCTTTCAACCAGGTGGAGCTGCGCTGGAGGCGCCAGCGCGTGGATCAGGCTCCAAGCTTCTTGTTCCCCGAGAGCGGAACACATGTGTCGGATCGTGACAAGGTGGGTCTCGGAGAATTGGGCAGAGGACATTGCGCGGCGGAGGGGAAGGTTGATGGACGAACTGGAGTGCTACCAGGTGTAATGGGGCGCACAGAGGAAGGTTTGTAGAACACGGTATATTATTAACTGAGAGAACTAGCTATCTCTGAGCTTGTTTCCTTGGCGCGCGGCAGCGCACCAGTCATGCAATTCATGTCAAATGAATGGTGCTGCTGCGGATGTCGCAGAGCCAGTGATTCGAGACACTTGGATTGCCAAGTGTCCTCTCGGGTCAGGATTGGAACTGACCAATGGGATGTCGCGTCCAGATGTTATCCGGACCCCGTTACACGACTCAGTCGCTTGTACGAACCTGGTGTTGAAGTTCCACTGTCACGGCGACATACCATCGTGTTTGGTTAATTGAGTTTGGATTATCATTTTTAAGACATTCCTCCGCGAGGGCCGACACTAGAACCACATGTTATGGAACCGCTTCACCAATTGTAACGCGCCTGCTCGACCAGGGGCGGTGTGTAATCTTCGGTTTTTACTTCGCTCAACGCATCATACCTCGTGTTTCGACCGATCTTCTTCGAAGTTCGGTCCTCGTCTTCGTACGCGGCCCTTGTTATCCGGATTCCCCAGGGGAGGGACGGATAAATCCTTGCGGAAATAATCCGGGGAAGCCGGGGATCGAACTCACGACCTTTGAGTTAAGAAACCGATGCTCTACCACCTGAGCTATTCCCCCCCCCGCGACATACCATCGTGTGTATAGAGAACTTCGATCAAACCCTCGGATCACAGCTCTGACCAAAGCCAGTGGCGACATCTTGCCGGCTTCCCTCACGTCATGGTAGCCACACTTCACGTCCCCATATATTGCCACTCATTCTTATGTTTTCCTCTTATATATATACTGTATGTAGGGACTTGTCACTGAGCAACATTCAGCGCATCGACGCCGACTTTGCCGTGCCTCATAAAGTACGCTCTCTGAAGCTCCGCAACAACCTGACGCCGATCTTCAATTTGACGTTGCCGCCTCGTTTCAAGATTCTCACGCTGGCCGGCAACCCCCTCGTGGACACGCGCATCAGTCGCGCCAAGTTTAACATTCTCATCCAGTGCACCCACGTGTCGGCCACGGTCGCGACGACTGCCCCGCCCCCAACGAGCGACTCAAGACCCCGTTCAACTTTGAGCTGTGCGTCCTTACAGACCCGAACAACCTAAAGGAGATGCAAGCCGCTCCGCTTTCGACCTTCAGGGCCTCATTCGTGACCAGTGTGCTGCCCATCCTAGGTGCCGCGGTCGGCGGAACCATCCTCCTCGCCGCCCTCTTTGTGCTGCGCTTTTGCCGCCACCGCCCTGCTATCGGATTGCAAAAGTCCAAGACCTAGTCGTCGCAAGAAGGGGACATGGAGCACACCACGGCCGCCGACGGCAGTCCACCGGATGAGACTGGAAGGAAGCTGTCTGCTTCGTCGGCGTGCGTTCTGAAGGACACAACCTGGTCCAAAGCCACCAAGGTGGAACCGTCTTTTCGCATCGCAGGACCCGTCGATGCCCGGACGCACGCTGTCCACCCATTTTTCTAGCCAATCAGTGGACGGCATGGGCCATCCCCCCCGATGATGTCCTTGACATTTGTCCATTCAAAGGGTACATTCGTTCTATATTCCGCTACCAAACTCCATACTAACTCACTCATGCTACATGTATATGTGACCATTAGTCACGTCAACATTGCCGTTTGTACGAACCAACGGGTGGCGCTGGTGTCTGTCCGAGACAATGCCGAGTTGACCCCGCTTGTACAGTACATGTGCTCACACGTATATCTTCTGAGGCGCATTGTCATGCTGTCATGGCTGTGTACCGCATTACATGGACTCAACCAAACGATGCGTTGATGCTAGTGATGGAGTTCATGCCTGGAGGCTCCTTGTTCGATGCCATGGTCGAAGCGTCGATTGGGGACGCCAAGAAGCTGCCCATATAGCCTACGCCGTGGCGCTGGCATTGGCCCATGTGCACGCCACCTGCCAGCAGTCCATCGGTCGAATTTCTGCCAAAGCCATCTTGCTCGATGGACGCGGTAGCGCCAAGTTGCATATCCCTCGATGCCTCATGAAACCTCATACAAGCAGTCATCATGAAGCCATATGGGCCGCTCCTGAAGGTGCTGGCACGTCCATGGCGGGAGACGTATTTGCGTTTGGCGCACTTTTTGCCACGCTTGACCATGGCGACTTTCCCGATAACGCGTCATCAGCCCACGACTTGTTTAGACCGACATGCCTACTGTCACAGTTCCGGATACAAGATCCGGATCCACGTAGCTGTACCACGGCATACAGGTTGAAGACAAAGTCAGTCCCAAACCCACGAGCGGCCAACGACGCCGCTACGTGCCAAGGAAACAGCAAAGGGGTCGCCACCCCTTTGCTTCGGACCACCCCCGGCCCGTTATGTATACCAGCTCAAGATGACTGGTCCTGCTTAGCTTAGCTTAGTCATAGCGTTAGATTGCTATAACGCTATCAATTCACTTCTCCATTTACCATCTACTGCGCCTTCCTCTGCGCACGCACGTTTACACCTGGTAGCACTCCACGTTCGTCCACGGCGTATGTCTTCCTTCTCCACCCCCATTACGCCAGCGCATCAACTGGTCCTCGACCGCATGTACCTGGTGTTCGGCGAACAAGACACCGCAACCCTCCTCGGTGGCCTCTCCCCCGAGAACCAAGCCCGTCTGGTGGAGGGCATCGGTCGACTTATCGACCAAGCCGTCATGGATGCCATCACCCCCCTGACTGCACTTCACGCCGCTCTCGAAAGCCAAGTATCCACTATGGCAGCCCATGGTCGTACTTTTGAAGAGTCACTCGCACGCAGCGCGACTGAAGTCGAGCGCCTTACGTACGCGCTTCATACCTCCGAACAACAGAGCCCCTCTCGGCTGAAGCCGATCAAGATCGAGGTCACCAAATTCGGTCGAGCGGAGTCCGACAAACTCCTCCGCTGGATACTCCAAGTTGAGACCGCTGCGAACGCGCAGCGTATCCTGGATGACGACACTCGAGTCGCTTTCGTAATGTCGCACTTGAAAGGCCATGCCGAAGATTGGGCGTTTTCCAAACGCCTCACGGACCCTTTGTGCTTTCCCTCCCTTGACGACTTCATGCATGAAATGAAGTCCACATTTCTGCCCCCCAATAGCGACTTTCGCTATCGCACCAAGTTTCTTGAATGCAAACAAGAAAAGCGCTCCCTACAAGAATACATCCACGACCTTCGCTTTTAGGCAGCGAACGTCAACGACGAAGAATCGCTCCCTGAAGCGATGCGCGTCACTGTGTTCATGGTTGAATCAAGGCCCCGCGCGGACTGTTCCGCGAATATCCAACCACGTTCGAAGCCGCTGTTCGAATCGCGCTCTCAGCGTCGTTTTCATCGACGCTCGCCCACGGCCGCACGAATTCCTCCGGCATGGAAGTCTCGACGGTTGCTCATGGTACTGAAGACCGCAAATGCTTCAATTGCGGTCGGGTGGGTCATCTGTCGCGGGCATGTCGTTACCCCCGCCTTGTGAACCCCGACTGCCCGCGCCCCCAACATACCCCCTCCGGTCCCCCCAACCGCTTTTCGTGTGGCCCATCGCGTCCCCAGCCCCGTTCTTTCCAGAACCCCGCTGGGGCGGAAAACGGACGTTCCCAGTAGGCACGAGGATTGGTGCTGTGTGCCGCGATGACACACTCCATAGACCCAGCCTCAAACACAGATTTCCTTCTGTGTCGTGTTGGGCTCCAGCCCAAGCAAATGCTGTGCTTTTCCCTTTTCGTGCCTGGCTTCCCTGCCAGACTTACTGTTCTGATCGATTGTGGAGCTTCTAACAATTACGCTAGCCGCTCTACCCTTGGTCGCTTTGGTTTTCTCCCCCGATCGGACAACTCCGATCGGGTCTGTGTGAAGATGGCTGACGGTCACGTCGCGACTCAACCCCGCGTTGTGGCTGAATTTGCCATCAAGTTCGATGATTTCGACTCCATCGAATCCTTCATCGTGATCGACCTCGATGAGAGGTGGGATCTCATCTTGGGCATGTCGTGGTTGGAATTTCACCAACCCTGGATCGACTGGTAAGCCAAGACCATTCACAAGGTCACTTGGCTTCGAAACCAACAACCTTGGATTCATCGGCGCGCTGCCGACAAATCCCCCCCTTCGACTTCCCCAGCCGACCTTGCCACAGTGGCGATAAGTAATGAACTCGCCCCTTGTCCCGCCTCGACGCGTTTGTTGGCCCCAACGCAGCTTGGCTCGCAAGTCTCGACTCCGGTGTCGTCCCCTGTTATCACAGCAGAGTCGCGCTCTGCCGTCGCCGTCCCTAGCCCGCCATCGTCACGGACGATCGCCACCGATACGCTAGTTTGTAAAGCGTGCAACCTAGACGGGTTGCCTCGGACATCCTCCGAGATCCTAGCACTGCCGGAGATGAGTTTTAACGCGTTTGTCGCGTCCCTTTGTGCCGAAGAGATCCGGGGTATCGCTATGATAATCCATCGGCGAGGAACTAGATCTCCTCTCGACGTCCACGGTCGACGAGTCGGTTCTACCACTGCCAGCGAAATCACAGACGTGTGATTCCCTCCGTACGAATCCGTATTTTGACTTCCTCCGCGAGTTTACGGACGTCTTCCCTGATGAATTTATAGTCGCATCCCTGTCGACAAAGGCGTACGACACGAGATCGATCTCCTGCCGGGCACGAAGTACTGTGTCACGCGGCAGTGGCCGCTTCCCCGCGAGCAAGTGGAAGCTATCGACGCGTTCCTCGCGGCGCGCAAAGCCGCCGAACATGTCCGCGAAAGTATTTCGCCGCACAGTAGCCCTACGTTCTGTGTCAAGAAACCCAACGGCAAGTGGCGTATTGTTCATGCCTTCAACAAGCTGAACACCGCCACCATCCCGGCTTAAACACCCATCCCCCGCAAAGATGTCATCATTGACGGCATGGGGCGTTCCAGCATCTTTTCCACCATCGACTTGCACGATGGCTTCTATCAAATCCTGATGCGTTTGGACGATGTGCCCAAAACAGCGGTATCAACCCCCAGCGGCATGCTCTGGGAGTGGCTGGTGATGCCACAGGGGCTTTCCAACGCCCCCGCCACGTTCAAGCGCATGGTGACCACTAAGTTCCGCGCCCTGCGCGACTTCGCCCCCTCATATTTCGATGATATCTACATCCACAGTCGCGCGTCGGCAACCTCTTCGGTCGCCGAAGCACACCGCGGCCACCTCCGCACGGTTTTCGAAGTCCTCCGTGCTAACGGCCTTTATGCCAACATCGCCAAATGTCTCTTTGGCGTCGACGAAATCCCTGTTCTCGGTGACTTGGTGGGTGTACGCGGCTGTCGGGCTGATCCCGACAAGATTCAGGCCATTGTGGATTGGCCCACCCCATCCTCCGTCAACGACCTCCGGCGTTGGTTAGGGCTCGCCACCTACCTCCACAAATACTCGGCGAGCTTCGCCGACCTCGCTCAACTGTTGTTTCGTCGTTTGGTCAAAGACGCTCCTTGGGTGTGGGAGGACTCCTACCAATCCTCCTTCGACGCCCTCAAGACCAGCCTACAACGCGCGCCCATTCTGGCGCTTCCTGACTTCGGGCGTCCATTTTCGGTTGTGTGCGACGCATCCAAATTCGCAATTGGATGTAGCCTGATGCAAGCCGACGCGGACGGGCGCGCTCGTCCCGTGTCATATCAAAGCCGCCAACTCCTTCCGGTGGAACACTCATACCCCGTTCACGACCTCGAGCTTCTGTCGATGAAGTACGCCCTCACCAAATTCCGCATCTACCTCCTTGGTAGCAAGCCCTTCGTGATCTATACAGATCACGCCTCACTCCGCACGGTGACCAACCCGCCGCACCTCTCGCAGCGAATGAAACGATGGCTTTCGTTCTTTGTGGAATTCACCTTCACCGTCCAATACAAACCGGGCAAGGACAACATCCTTGCCGACGCCCTCTCTCGACGTCCCGACCTCGCCCTTAACACTATCGGGTTCCTCCATTCCGACCTTCAAAACCGCATCCGCGCGGTTTACGCCTCGGACCCCACGTGCTCTGCGCTTTTGTCAGCATTAACGGCGCCTGCCCCTTCAAAGCCAAGCCGTTCCCTGTCACTACTCCATTGCTATTTTATCCGCGATGGTCTCCTGTATTTCACCCCTTTCCGCGGCGACGAACCTCGCATCGTCGTACCAAGCGACGCGCCATTACGCACCGCTATTCTCCGGTCCTTCCACGACTCCCCCAGCGGTGGCCGTTTCGGCCGCGACAAGATGTTCCACGCGGTCGCGCGTTCATATTGGTGGCCGCGCCTCTACAAATCCGTGATTCACTACGTCGCTCGATGCGACGCATGTCAACGCACCAAGATCACCGCGGCCTCCAAAGCACCGCTCCAACCGCTCCCGACACCCGACGAACTTTGGTCATCCATCAGTATGGACTTCATGTTTGGCCTTCCACGCGATGTACGTGGCCATACCGGCATCATGGTGTGTGTCGATCGCGCCTCCA